TATATATATATATATATATATATATATATATGTTTATATATGTATATATATGTATATATATATATATATATATATATATATATATATATATATATATATATATATATATATATATATATATATATTTATATATATGATGCTTAGTGGAAAGCGTTTACTATCAGTGATAGGGCTACAAAAGATATATATACAAAGATATATATATATATATATATATATATATATATATATATATATATATATATATGTGTGTGTGTGTGATAATAACATCATATCTATCTGACAACAATTGAAACATAAGTATTGCGTAATTTAATCAATTGTTAGAAAGTTAATACTTTATTAATATTTATAATCGCTAAGAAGAGATTTCGCCATTAATTACATTATAATCGCTAATTAATTCTTTGTATAATTACCTCTTTATGGCATAAAACATATACTACACAATTTAACATACATACATACATATATATATATATATATATATATATATATATATATATATATTAAATATTATATATTTAATATTATTATGTATTATTTAATATTAAATATTAAATATTATATATTTAATACTAATAATTCTCAAACAGCCTTCAACCTTTTAATGTATAGACTCACTTCCTTTATCAAGGATAGTATGTCGTGTTTGTGTGTGTGTGTGTAGTGTGTAAGGATACCCCCACCCCACATTAATGACATACGTCATAGGCTTATGTGTGTATTTCGGTCTCTTCATGAGTAATGTATAACTAAATGTACTGGCGGTGAGGAAGCGGGGAAATAGAAAATAAAATACTGAGTCCTGGTTCGTAAGCGTGCGTACACTTACAAACCAGGCAAGTTCCGATGTGTGGACATACACATTCGGCATGTACGTACCGAAACGGGCCGAACGCGCTCATAGATAAGCAGACAGGCGTGTATGTATACGCGAAACGGGCCATCTGATACGACAGTAGGGGAAACAAAGCGATTTGGGCTCTGTAAACAGAGTGACTGAGGAATATTACTTTGTGCTTCGAGCGGGGATGGTATTAAATAATGAACAGCGTACACGCGCGCCTGCGTATGTGTATGTGTGTGTGAGAAAATGAAAAAGGATCTACCTCCCTTTCCTTCTCCCCTCCTCACCCCCCCATTTCTTTTCACTTTAAGCCGCATCTTTCACGTTTTTGCAACCATCACCACCTCCACCGCTATACATTTTGAAAGGCATAAATAAGAATTTATAAAGTAAAAAAAAAATTACATGTGTGTGTGTCTATGCGTGTGTGTGTGTGTGTGTGTGAATATGTATAAAAAATAGTAGGTTAAATTCTGAACCGGTTAAAAAGGGAGAGTTCTGACTGTGAAAAAGGGAGAGTAAGGAGTCGCGGGATTTAAGGTGTCGGGGAGAGAGATGATAGAAATGGTAACCGGCAGTTATGATGTCACAGTACTAGAAAAGAGTCAGGCGAGGAAAGAGAAAGGAAGACATGCATGTGTGTATGCATATATACATAAGTATTTATATTTGTGCGTACGCGTGTGTGTGAAGCACATCTATAAAATTTACTGCTCAAACCCAACACCGTTCTAGTATCTGTCTTTCTATGAATAAGGTGGGTGAGTAGAAACAGAAAGGATGACTTGTGTGTGTAAGTGGCAAGTGTTTTAGGCAAAAGTGTGTTTCCTATCTTTGTCGAGGCTTTTTTTTTATATTCTTTACTCTAAATTTGAGGGATTGGGAAGGGGTTATCGTCTCAAGCAGAAATCGATTCGTACATATTTGTCGCTAAATGTGTATATTCGCTCAACCAACTTAAAACATTTCAAATTCTAATGCGTGCATAGAATATATAACTACGTCGTCATCTAATCAAAAGCGATCTCACTATTGTATGCTTGTTTTTTGATGTGTTTTAAAGAATTACTATATATAGTATACATAAACGTGCACTTGCGTGTTTATAAAAGTATCAGTTCTGTCGTTTTCAACAGAAATCTTAAACAACAGCCCATGTAAAGAGCGTCGATTGTGGTTGCAATGTTTTAATAAGTGCGCTTTGCAGGTAGTTTCATTGATTTGAACATCTCATGGGTTCACCACTAGGGCGGGTCTTTGCGAGACTGGAGTAAGCTTAATAAATTTAAACTTCTTGCTCCACACCCGATTATACACCTTTAAAACAACTGCATTTAGTTACGTCCTACCTTGACTGTATCTTGTGTAAATCGTTACAGATATAAAAGTAATGCTTAATAAATATCACAATGTGTTCGTTTCATTTCCTCGGAGGCATGAAATTATAATACTTTGCATTGATGTAAATAATTGTTTTATTTTAAATCTTACGTTATTACAACCTTTATCTAGTTGGTACATTTTCTATAATGCGGCTGCTTACGGTCACATCACGTTCAAACACAGCTTCCCGTATGATCACCGAAGTTAAACAACGTTGAGCCTGGTCAGTAACTAGATGAGTGACCTCTTGGAAATAGCAGATGCTGTTAAGATTGATGTGTAATTGATGTAATGGATAAAAGCTCGGAATTTTTAATTGAGCTGTCGTGTTCCAATTCCCGTTGGGTTCGTTATAGTCACTCACGTGCAAATACCCTTGGGTAAAATATGGATCTTCCGACCCCCAGTAGATATGGGTAAATTAGTAAAACTTGGATCACTAAAACCATTATTATCTAATAAAAAAAAATAATCTTACAATTTACAAATATATTCTCGCTTTAAATAACCTGCAGAAGGTTGATAAGCCGTAAAAAACGAATCAATTTAATAAGATTATTGATTCTCCTGGTCGGTAGACATTAATTTCACTGTTTATTTTATTTTATTTTTTTTTTAAACGGGGATGTCTACTCAAGCATGTGTACGCAGTATGCATTACGCTAAATCAAACGTCAACAGTGGTGGCTCGTGGTTATGTCAGATGTTAAGATTTGCAGATTCGTTGCTCGATATTACTTATTTCGTCTCCTCATAAAAATAATTTATTTGTTTGCTTTTTGTTTGTACTTATTTTCTAGAATGATGCCTATAAATTTCTTTCACGCACATAACGAGGCACCTAGTGATTATCGAACTCAATGATCAGTCGTAATTGTTCGTGCGAGACAAACTTGCTAACAGTTAATTTGTTTATTTAGCGGCATATCAACTCCTTATGGGTCATTTATTGCCGAAATTGAATTTTGAGAAAATTAACAATTACTTTTTCAAAAATGCATTGCTGTTACTTTTACTATAAAACTCTATTTTTATACTTTCATAGTTTTGACCCCAGTTTAGGGAGTTAACTATTTGCCCATAGCTTGGATCCTGATCACGTGCTCTATCTTGATATATACGCGACGTTGTGTAATCGTTAACAAGCTTGTCTCGCTATTTACATTACTCGTACTGTTGTCCTCATCTTTGTCGCCATATTTATTACAATGTTTCGGCCGTTGTACGCTCCGGCCTTCTTCAGGAATGTCGAACTGAATCCTTTATTTCTCTCACTAGGGTAGACTGTCAGTTATCAGTTAACTCCTGTTAATTCCCCTCTCCAATTTCCCCACTGCCTTAACCGGGTATTGAACTCACACTCTTTGGGTCCTGTCACTGGATCTAACTAACTCTTTTATCCACTGTGTCCTCTCTGTATGAATTTCTGGGTATTATAAACCTAATGTCTTCAGCAATCGTTTTTTATCAGTGCTCATATTGCGACGAAGATGAGGACAATAGTCCGAATAATGTAAATAGTGTACAAGACACCACATCTCAGAAATATAGACAGATACTGAAGCTTGTCTCGATCGAACAATTAGTGCATTATGGTTACACTATATATATTTTATTTGTCTTAACTTTTACATTATATATATATATATATATATATATATATATGTGTGTGTGTGTGTGTGTGTGTGTGCATTTATATATATATATATATGTATAGATAGATAGATAGATAGATCTGGGCGATGGGTAAATTGTCGCCATTTTATATTTTTATTTTGGCTCATTTTGTATTTAATTTTGTCGATTGCACAGTACAATGGGGTCAGTTGAGCACCATCAGGGACAAAAAGAGCACCATGACGCAATTCACCCAGCCAGAAATTTGTAAACGGCATCCTGTACTGCTCTTTAGTATTTCACGATATTTTTGTGTAATTTCGTTAAATATGTCTGTTAAAAATGAGATTCCAGTGTTATTTTCATTTTTGCGTCATTTAGACGACAATTTATCCATCGCCCTGTCTATATATGTATGTATGTATGTATGTGAGTCTGCATGTATTAGGTACTATTAAGTTAATATTAGCCTCATATATAATATTTGCCTAATATCGCTTAAGATGAGATGTCAGTGTTATTTTCCATTTTGCGTCAATTCGACGGCAATTTATCCATCGCACACTGTATAAGTATTTTTTTTAAAGAGATTACAAATCATGTATTTTCGGTGACCGGTTACACTATATGCAGGTAAATATTTTCGTGGGGTGGGGGTGGGGTTAGAATTCATGCCAAAAATTTCAGGAGTTGCACTCTACATGGAGTTCTCTTATGCCTGAGTATACACGTTAATCTCCAGTTTCAACAAAAACTAAGAACTGAAGCCCCCTCCTATCCGAACCCCTTATAGCACGATAGGTATCTATGCCCGAATTACAAGTACACCTTTATACAAATTAATTGAAACAACCGCTTTAGTTTCGTCACTTTCACCATACAGTCAGTTTTAGACCCACTGGAGTGACAGGGTGTAATCGATTTCTATTTTTTCCTCAGATTAGGTCATTTACAGTGATGTGCAGTAATATGGATGCATTTTCTGGTGGATGATGAGATGTTTTTGGCCTTGGAAAATATTGCGTCATCCGTGATTGCATCAGATTTTAATCACGCCCGAAAACTATTGTCTCGACTGTCGATTAGTTGTCCTACGACCATTTTTTGCGAAGGAAGCGTACGAAAATTGTAACGCTGCACGAACACACTGGAAAGCCTTACCAGTGAGTAAATCAAAGGACTATCGACTGGCCCGAAAACTCTTTTTAATTAAATCCAAACTAGAATCTGTGGTCAATCTGGAAGAAACGACTTCGTGGAATGGAGATACGAAGTACTAACATGGACTCTGGGTCATGTTTCATTGGGAAAATACGAAAAAAGTAAATAATAACGGAATTATTCGTTTTGTTTAAATTAATTTGCACAAGGGTGTAGATGATCATGGCTCTCCACATCTTCCTGTATAATTTATTTGCACAAGGTTGTATGAACATGTCCCTTCACATCTTGTATAATTAATTTGCACAAGGGTGTAGAATGATGGCAGGTAGTAAATAGCTTCTTCTTGCAAACTATATATGAGTCTATCATTGTAATTTGACTGACTGCTATAGGAGAGGGACATATTTAATCCATTTAAAAAAAAAAAAAATAGGCGTTTAATTTTAGAGGCGCAGACGAAGAGATTATCAACGATGACCTCGAGGAGAGGTCTACCGGAGAATGTGTTTCGCTCGCAGGTGTCGGATATTTGTGCAGTTTTGTGTGAACATCACCTGGTAAGAAGATTTGAGTCTTACCCTAGAGCCATGGATCCCTACTAAGACAACGTTTAGGGTAACATGAAATACACAGATATGTAAATACAAACTGATATAAGAGCATGCCTATGTGGAAAGAGGTGCTGAATAATTATTTACGCCACTCAGTCTAAAATCATTATTGCAATGATCAAACGTCAGAATATTTTTTGAAAGGTTAACTACAGCAATACTCAAACTTTTATTTATTATTTACATTATTCGGACTATTGTCCTCATCTTCGTCGCCATATTTATTACAACGTTTCAGCCTTTCAGTATATGTCTATATTTCTGAGATGAGGTATTATGTACACTATTTACATTATTCGGACGATTGTCCTCATCGTTATCGCCATATTTATTATAACGTTTCGGTCTTTCAGTATCTGTCTATATTTCTGAGATGAGGCATTATATACACTATTTACATTATTCGGACTATTGTCCTCATCTTTGTCGCCATATTTATTACAAGGTTTCAGCCTTTCAGTATATGTCTGTATTTCTGAGATGAGGTATTATGTACACTATTTACATTATTCGGACTATTGTCCTCATCTTTGTCGCCATATTTATTACAACGTTTCAGCCGTTGTACGCTCCGGTCTTCTTCAGCTTGGAATGTCGAACTGAACCGTTTATTTCGCTCACTGGGATAGACTGTTCTAGTTCGACGTGACATGTTTAATGGATGTCAGTTATCAGTTATCTCCTGTTAATTTCCCTCTGAAAGTTCTCTACTGCTTTAGCCGGGTATTGAACTCACATTCTTTGGGTCTTGTCACTGGATGTAACCTTTATCCACTGTGGACATCTGGGTATGAATTTCTGGGTATTATAAACCTAATGTCTTCAGCAACCATCTTTTACCCGTGCTCGTATTGCAATTCTTGCTGTTACCATTGCATGTTTTACCAGAGCTCATATTGCAAATTTTGTTGTTATTATTTATTTATTGTATTACTTCTTTATTTTTTCTTTATTCTTATTATGTTTCTTATTCTTATTATGCTGTTAATTAAGTTTGTTATTATGTTTTTTATTCTTATTATGTTTCTTATTCTTATTATACTTTTAATTATATTTCTTATTATGTTTCTTATTATGTTTCTTATTATTATGCTTTTAGTTATATTTCTTATTATATTTCTTATTCTTATTATGTGTTATTATGTTCTTTATCCTGTTTTTTATTCTTATTATATTTCTTATTCTGTTTCTTATTTTTATTATGCTTCTTATTGTGTTTCTTATGTCATTATATTTCTTATTTATTCTTTATTGTTATTATGTTTCTTTTTTATTCTTTATTTTTTTTAAATTTATTTATGTTATTATGTTTCCGCTTTGGTACCAAGACTTTATGAATTTAAGTTCGTCCTGGGTATGACGACTCGGGCAGTAAGAGGTTTTGAGTAGCGTGGATTCACTACTTAACAGTTGTTGTCCCCCAGCTTCTTAGTATCTTTATTAAAGTAAGAAAGAAAATTTCCATGTTGATACATGTTAACTTATTCCGAGTACTTTCGACATTTTTTAAAACATATGGAGATTCCAAACCTACTTACCTTCCTTGAGTTGTACATCGTGAATTTTAAATCGTACAGTATATAACCTTAGCTCTTTCACATCACAGTTAAAAAATAACTTTCAGATGAACACAAAAATTTTGTCTTAAAAAAAAGAAACAACACCCTGATGATGATATTGTGCCAATGTCGAAAGTACTCGGAATAAATGAATATATATCAACATGGTAATTTTCTCTCTTCCTTTAATAAGGATACTAAGAAGCTTGTCCTTGAATATGAGAGGATCCTACTGAAAATAAGTAGTCAAGACGTGTCTGAATTATTCAATGAGTCATCTCTTAATATATATATATATATATATATATATCCGATG